CGCAGCAGGCAGCAGCAGCAGCAGCGTCGGCGGCAGGGCGGACAGCTGCGGCTGCGGCGGCTGCGGCTCGCCAGAAATCGACACTCCTTCCGCCCAGCCTCCCTGGCCACCGGCGAGGCGGATTCAGCGGCCCCCCGGCCCCACCCCCCTCCCCCCGCACTCCCCGACTCCACCCGCACCCCAGCACCCGCACCACCTGCCCCACCCGCACGACTGCACGCGTCGCAGTTCGCTGCGCTGCTGCGCGAACGGGCCGGACGCTCATCTACACCCAAGGGAGATGCAGCAGCGTCGTGCTGCGTCCCTTAGCCCCAATGCGCTCTTGCCGCTCATTACTCACACATGGCCACCATCGTACATCGGCAGATGGAATTAAATCTCAAGGCGATTGGACACTTTACTTGCCAGGGTACGAACACTTCTAAATATCACCTTCGCCAAAGGCGAACCTTATCGCCTCTGCTGAATTCGTGTGAGTCAGATGAGCCGGCAACGCTGAAGCCTGGCTGTGAGGAAGGTAAACAAATCCCGCGAAAGTGATGCCTATACAGCAAGTCTTTGACATCTACAGCACGTGGCGAAAGGAACTGTTAGTTGCTTAACGCTTCCGGTACGTGCAGGACACGACATTTCTATTTATTAGTGCTACTTTGGACAGTTCAGTCAATGTGGATGGTGTCACCCCAATTGGAATATTAATACGTCGCCCATAGTTGGCTGTATGTCACTGTTAGTGTCTATAAGATAAATTGAAGTATAACATTAACAAAATAAAATTAATATTAAACATCAAATTTAAAAGGAAATAGAAATCAGAACAATGGAAGGGCATACGAGCAGAATAAGAAGAATGAACTATTCTGCCCAAGTGAAAGGATTGTTATTCGAACGGAACATTAAGCATATAAACACAATCAATAGCGTCTGATTTTCAGAAAACGATTAAAATGATTAAATTAGTTTTGTTGATTCTGTGGATTGAATGTCAAATATATCTCGATGAGAGGTGTTTAAATGACATATTTCGTTGTTAAAGTTATTATATTTTTAAAACAGCATATAATCAAAGTCGTAACTGTTGGTACTCCGAAAAGTTGTGATGTGGACTTTGGAGTATGACAGAAAAGTTTGTTTCGAATCATTTATTTCACTTTACACTAATGCATTTACAGTTTTGACAGAAAGTATATTACATTACATGATGTTAAGGAATAATTTTAGGTAGGGTCTTTTAAGCAATGTTTTGTCTGACGAAAACTGCTTTGAGATTGCGAATTGGCAAACCGCAATAAGCACTTAAAATAATACTTTTATTTATTAACCGGCTTTCATTAAAAATTTTGCATTTCAGAAACTTATAAGCACGTTCCAAAAAATTATGCATTTATTTTATTATTTTATAAAAGACGATGAAATATATTTGTTCGAAAAAAAATTAACCACAATAAAAGAGCACCATTACCAATTCAATTTTGCTTTTTTCATAATCCAAGGACTTTTTTTTAGACAAAAATATGCTTAAATTGGGGACTTATGAGAAACTTTTCAGTTTCATTGTTTCCTCCCTGGACTATAGACACCATTTTTTCGCTGATCGGGCCTACGCGTGTCCACGCGTCGCATGCCAATTTGTTAGCCCTGGGGGGTGTGCATGATGAGATGATGATAAGTGAGGGACGACAAGAAACGGCACATAACACATATTACAACCCGGATTGCTCTTGCCGGGACACGAAAAACCGGGGAGTCTTCTGGTCCGAGATCGCTACCGCTACGGCACGTGCTTGCCCCGTTAACGATCTCAGGCCATCTTGATGTATATGAAATATTTCCATTATTGTGAATAATTTCCACATAATAGTTAATAAATTAATGTTTGAGCACTATATATTATATATATATATATATATATATATATATATTATATATATAGTAATTATATTATTGGGAATGGCCTGCTTGCTACATGGTCTTGTTGTCCGAGGCGGTGAAGTGATTTGAGATTTGTTGCCTTGGGGGCGAAGGGCCTCCCGGGGACGGCCGAACGAGGGAGTCGTCTACCATCGAAAGGACGCGGACGGCGGGCAGCTGCTCGACCCGTCGGAGTAGGTGGGTCCTCCGCGTCCCGGCGCCGCCCCCTCATCCGGCGGCGACGACGATCTGCGACACAGGACTCATTCGACGACACGAGCTCGAGCGCGGCTCCCGACGTGGGGCGCACGCTGGCGGCGGCGCGGCCCAGCCAGGCCCAGGCCCAGGGCCAGGGCCCGGCGCCGCGGGCAGGTGCCGGACGCCGAACCTTCATTTTTTAATATCTCTTCACCCGCACCCGCACCCGCACCACCTGCCCCACCCGCACGACCTGCACGCGTCGCAGTCGCTGCGCCTGCGCGACGGGCCGGCGCTCATCTACACCAAGGAGCTGCAGCAGGTGCGTGCGTCCCTTAGCCCAATGCGCTCTTGCCGCTCATTACTCACACATGGCACCATCTACATCGCAGATGAATTAAATCTCAAGGCATTGACACTTACTGCCAGGGTACGACACTTCTAAATATCACCTTCGCCAAAGCCGAACCTTATCGCCTCTGCGAATTCGTGTGAGTCAGATGAGCGGCAACGCTGAAGCCTGGCTGTGAGAAAGTAAACAAATCCTCGCGAGCTGATTGCCTTACAGCAAGTCTCTTGACATGCTACAGCACGTGGCGAAAGAACTGTTAGTTGCTTATACGCTGCCGGTACGTGCAGACACGACATTTCTATTTATTTAGTGTACTTTGACAGTTCATCAATTGTGATGGTGTCACCCAATTGGAATATTATACGTCGCCATAGTGGCTGTAATGTCACTGTAGTGTCTATAAGTATAAATTGAAGTATACATTAACAAAATAAATGTCATATTAACATCAAATTAAAAGGAATAGAAATCAGAACAAATGGAAGGGACATACAGGAATAAGTGAAAAATGAACTATTCTGCAGTGAAAGAATTGTTATTCGAACGGAACATAAACATATAAACACAATCAATAGCGTCTGATTTCAGAAAACGATTAAAATGTTAAATTAGTTTTGTTATTCTGTGGATGATGTCAAATATATCTCGATAGAGTTAAAATGACATATTCGTGTTAAATTATATATTTTAAACAGCATATAATCAAAAGTCGTAACTGTTACTCCGAAAAGTGTGATGTGACTTTGGAGTATGACAGAAAAGTTTGTTTCGAATTCATTTATTTTCACTTTACACTAATGCATTTACAGTTTTGACAGAAAGTATTATTAATTACATGATGTTATAGGAATAATTTTAGTTAGGTCTTAAGACAATGTTTTGTCTGACAAACTGCTTTGAGATTTCGAATGGCCAAACCGCAATAAGCACTTAAAAAATACTTTTATAACCGGCTTTCCATTAAAAAATTTTGCATTTCAGAAACTTATAAGCACTCCAAAAATATGCATTTTTTATTATTTATAAAAGAAATGAATATATTTGTTCAAAAAAATTAACACACAAATAAAAGAGCACCCATTTTACACAATTCAATTGCTTTTTTTCATATCCAAGGACTTTTTTTAGACAAAATATGCTTAAATTGACTTATGAGTAAACTTTCAGTTTCATTGTTTCCTCCCTGGACTATAGACACATTTTTTCGCTGATCGGCCTACGCGGTCCACGCGTGCATCCATTGGTTAGCCCTGGGGGTGTGCATGATGAGATGATGATAGTGAGGGACGAAAGAACGGCACATACACATATACACCCATGCTCTTGGCGGGACACGAAACCGGGGTCTTCTGGTCCGAGATCGCTACCGCTACGGCACTGCTGCCCTAACGATCTCGGCCATCTTGATGTATATGAAAAATATTTCCATTTATTGTAATAATTTCCACATAATTAGTTAATAATTTAATGTTTGAGCACTATATATATATATATATATATATATATATATATATATATATATATATATATATATATATATATTGGGATGGCCTGCTTGCTACATGTCTTCCGAGGCGGTGAAGTGATTTGAGATTTGTTGCCTTGGGGCGCAGGGCCTCCCGGGGACGCCGACGAGGGATGTCGTCTACATCGAAGACGCGGACGGCGGGCAGCTGCTCGACCCTCGAGTAGTGGGTCCTCCGCGTCCGCCGGCGCCGCCCCCTCATCCTGCCGGCGACGACGATCGCGACACGGACTCCATTCGACGACACGAGCTCGAGCGCGGCTCCGACGTGGGGCGCGCGCTGGCGGCGGGCGCGGCCCAGGGCCAGGCCCAGGCCCAGGGCCAGGGCCCGGCGCCGCGGGGGCAGGTGCGGACGCGAAACCTTCATTTTTTAATCTCTGAGGAGAGGGGCTTAAAAAAATGTTTCAATTAAAAAGTTAATTATACCGATTGTCCAAGAATGGAGCGAAGTGGCTCAGGGCGTAGCGCACTGAATTCCAAATTCGGGAGGCCTGGGTTCAATCCCAATGCAGCCATCTCGACCGGGGTTTCGCTCGTTCATCCAGGCGAATGCTGGGATGGTTCTACTGAATGGCCACATCAGCAAAACCGGCGTCGCTAGCCGAATGTGTTAACTACGTGAAGTCACTAAGCGAATTCGAGATATCGCGGGTTCCTGGTTGGGCGACCAATTCAGAACTCCGGGATCTAACGGCGCCGAGGATAATTGTCCTTTGCGGCACATATAATGGCTAAATAGTAATATAAATAGTCAAAGAAAGGTAGTTTAGCTATAATATTTCTACTCAATAAGAAATTATGCTATATCTGCAAGAAATTAACCGGTTTTTGCATCTTTACGATCAAGGTTTTCTCTACGTATCATGCAGTCTTGTTGTGTATTTTGACGCATCAGATTCTCAGAGGCAAATAGTGGATATTGTAAAAACTGAACAAATAATCGAACGTAGGTAAAGAATGATATTAACTACAAATGTATAACTTGTTAAGAAATAAATTGTGCCGTTGATTAAAATTTCGAACGACTGCGTGCAGAATCTGTCCATCATTTGGACCACCAACTTTTGTTTCCACAGAAGGAGGGAAAGTGCAATTTGTTCGATAGCAATGCGCTTATCGATTTGCCAATAGTTTCCCGAAGTCCAGTATTAATACCAAAGTACTCTCCTTTTCTAAGGCTACCATAGAATGCTATAAAATAGAATCTCAGAATATTGCGCGTGTGGTTCTAGGCTATATGATCAGATCATTTTTATTAAGCGTTCAACGTGAGTATGATCATTTCATGCTAACAGATTTGTTAAAATATCTGCGCCAGTGGCTAAAAGTCTTCTGTTTTTCATTTCAAATTTCATTTATCATATCCTGTATCTTAGAGGACTGATTTTAATTTTTTTTACTTACTATGGTATTTAAAGTATTCTGAAATTTAATTTTACTTTTCATGCCTAAAATTTACAACCCAGAAAAAAATGGAATCACTTTCTTTCCCCCCACCGCAGACTAAATCATGGACAAAATGCTCCATTTAATATGGATAAAGAATTAAGCCAACCTCGATGTGTACATATTTGACCCCGTTACCTAAATAATAGTGTTGCTTGTTTTGTACCAGAGAAGATGGGAAAAGTCCCCCAAAACTAGTTTGGTATATTATGTGTTAAATACACTATTTGTACTTTCTTTATTGTGGTCTGATTATTTATCTCTCTCGTACCTCTATAAAACTGACTTTACATTCCATTTATATGAATGAAAATTAATAGATGATCTAAATGGCATGTCCTTATTAACCCTCGGCCTCAATGATAAACTCAATTCGTGTCTCGCGCAGGAGTATCGCCTGGTGCTGGGCCAGCGGGGGGCGCCGGGACCTCAGCAGCCGGTGGCGGGGGCGGCGGCGGCCCACGGCTACGACGGCGAGGAGCGGGCGTCGCCGGCCACCGCGGACACGGGCCAGCAGGCGCTGCGGGACCACTTCTACATCCGCGAGGGCAACGCAGACATCCTGCGCATCGTCACTCGTGGCCGCTCGGACGAGGCGGCGACAGCCCGACACTATTCGCCGGCCTCGGACCCCCTGCAGCAGCAGCAACTGCAACAGCAGCATGCGGCTCAGGAGGCGCAGGTCAGTGCATGATGCACGCTACGCTGTTGGGAGATTCAGCTTTGCAGTCAATAAGTGTAGAAAGTCGCATGACGCGTGGATCGTGAGTGGGAGAGAATTGTGAAAGAGATCAGATCCGGCCTGGACAGCCGACGCCGCTAAGGCTAAAGGGCCGTAGCTGCTCGCGGGATTCAATCCCGTCTCGAGCATTGACGATTGTGTGTAATCGTGGTGTCGTTATGTATATTTCTACTGTTAAAATAATCAGTAAGGTAGCTTCATGACCAAGTTGCTAAAAATTGGCCTAAAAAATTAAGAAAACAAACATCGGTTATATTCTATTTGTATCTTTCAAGTTTTAGAATTAGTATTTTCAACATGAGTTTCTATGGTAATTTGTTAAATAAGTCGCAGTACTTCATTATTGCCTGTTTCTCTCTATGAAGTGTTATTTACCGCGTCCATTACGTCTCTATAAATCGCTGTGCCACCTCATCTTGTGAGGTCACCGTTTTCGAATATCATCTAGTACAGGCCTTTCCCAACTGACCTCTGAGGAGCATGAGGGAAAGGTCATCAGACGAAGGCCCAAAGGCGCTGAGAACTGTTCGGCGCAGGCGACAAGAACCTACGGCAGGTCATTACTCCTCTTTTTCTTTGAATTTCTCCCTCGTAGGTCGTACGCGAGTAAACTAAAGACATTTTACTTTTCTTTGACGAAAAATAAATCGAATCAGTTCTCAGAGAGAGGATGTAGGATTTGGAAAATGACGTGGGAAAGATGCAAAGTGGGTGCGACGAATGCATTAGTATTTTAGGAAAACGAGAAAAGAAGAAACGAGACAAAAATGCATTTTTTTTAATTCTAGGAAGATGGTCATGAAGGGTAGGCAAATTGTAATGTGATATTCACGTCACAACAGTGTTTAGTCTATCATAGTGAATTCACACAGGAAAATTGGACAAAATAATATGACATGTGTGAATGTGTATGATTTAATGTGTCCTTCCTCCTGAAAAGTTGCCAAAAATGACATTTTCTATTTCATCTCAGTACGATTCAATTATGTTGAAATAATTCGATCTTTAGCGACAAATATATTTTACACTGTAGCCCACTTTTGTGGCCTGCTTCCCACGTGCCCGCGTGTGTGAGAGGGGTGTGCGCTGCGCAGGGCCAGCGGCCGCTGACGCTGGTGGCGGGCGCGCGGCACGCCCACTTTGACGCGGGCAAGGACATGATCATGCAGCGCTTCATGGAGGCGCAGCGCCACAACTCGGCGGCGCAGGAGGCGGCGGCGGCCGGCGGCGCCCTCAGCCTGCAACAGCAGCAGGAGCTGCTCGTGCGCAGACTCCTGCAGGTGCGACACGGACGCACACGCACACGCAGACGCACGTGCGACGTGATGATTTACTTATCGTATGCGACACTTTGCAGTTGTTTCGCGCCGTTGGTTTTCGACCTAGACTTCCTTGGAAGACTCATCTGGGGACCATTGAAGAGCAGGCGTGTCTCGCGTGCGATCCCCTAAATGTGCCTGGGAATTCACTTTGTCCGCCAGATGTCGCTCTCAGTTAACTATATCTGAACTGCCTAGTTAAGAAAAGGTTAGATTTCGTTAGGGCGGGATGTTTTCGGAGGGATTTAATTTTGCCGGGTATACCGCCAAGGTTCGTTTACATGCCAGATTTGTAAACATCTGGGTACCTCGGCAGGGATTGAATCTGCACACTGAGAGTTCAGAGGCCAGTAAGCAAACCCCTCATTCACGGAGGCGCGGGGTGGTGTGACGGTCAGACTGATAGCTTTTTTCAATGGGGGAGGGAAGGCTGAAGATATAGAGATCAGCTGATTCGATGTTTTCTTTTATTATAAAAGGTTCCAATTATTTAAAGTCAATCCGAATTATTTTATGAAAACAGACACTTTAATTAAATATTTTTATAAAATGAAAGAAACACGTTAACGTATTTATTTTTTTCATTTTGTCTCTGATTACGTATCGGAGATCATTCCCTCTCCATCGTCAGGTCCATGTTTTAGCTTTTATAAATTGGTAGTTCTTAATTTTGTCAAATGCGAATATAAGACCATATTATTTCAATAGAATAAACTCTAAAATTGATTCAATCAAATTCTCGTCATTATAAATCCCAGTTTAGTATTCACATTGTTAAAGATTTCAGTTTGTAAAACATGGTTTGCACTCCGGAGGTGGTTGTGGAGGGTACGATGCCAAATACTTTTTCATGATACACGTTTTCTTATAAAGAAATGTTTATATAATATTTATTAAGCTGAATTTAATTTATATTTGCATTTGTTGATTTGTAGTTAGTAGTTATTACAGCGTATTCATTTGGGATACACAAGGACTTTTCTTTATTACAGAAAATTATTGAAAAGTATATTTATATCATCGAATTCTGGGGAAGGCTGCAGGCCCATAACTCCCTCTTTGGGAACGTCTGAGCACATTTTGATATCCTCTCCCCGATTTCGTCCCCTTTTTTTCCACAAGGCACGAAGGACTAACGGGTGCAGTGATAACGGATAGCGTATAGTTATACACAAGTTGGTTGGATCGACACCCAACTTGGGTATAACTAGTTTTGGGCGGAAAAATCCTTACCACGCTTTCCTTCGCAGGGGAAGTAAATCCGTCTGTCGCATTTAAAGAGATTTACTGCAAGTTAAAGATCCTCAAGCAGCACGCCTCTGAGCTAAATATACATTGCCTGTTTCGTCGCCCAAGAAATACCTCCCAATGGATTGAATGGGATTGAAATGGGTAGAATGGGATTGAAATGGATTGACATGGGTTGAATTGGATTGACATGGGTTGAATTGGGTTGACATGGGTTGAATTG